TACAACAGTTACAAGCAAGAATCAAGTGGACTAGGCCAAAAAGAAATTTCAAGGTTGGAGATGTGGTATTGCTGAAGGAAAACCAGTCTCCGAGAAACAGATGGCCTTTGGGTAAGGTCGTAGCCACGCATCCTGATGATCAAGATCGAGTCCGATCGGCGACAGTGCTGACAGGCATTGGCTGCAAGTTGGAAAGGCCTGTTAACAAGCTCGTCTTACTTTTGGAGGCGTAATGTTTAGAGACCGGGATTCCTCGACGAGGAGCCCGAGCTTTTATGAACGCTTTTTCTAGGAAATAAGTTTTAGGACTGTTCACCGTCGCGAATTCAGGTCGTAGCTGTGGCATTATGCTAATTAGTTCCACGAATTGAACATTTCACTTCCGGTTGACGTCCTCCTCGGCCGAGTCCAGAGTATCTTAAGGTTCCTATTAAGTGCCAAGAGGGAAGCCCTTGATTAGGGGAAGTAAATAAATAATGCCTATTAGAGATCGGTCTTTTACTACACTAATTGGCTTAAAATAACGTACATTAAAACACACCCCATACTACAAAAACACGTCCGCCTATACTTCTTCAGCCTAACTACGCGCCCATCGATCAACGCTAGGAAATGACATCAACCAAATCAGTTTCCAGTCATTTAGCACTTCATCATAATAAGCCTGTTAAGAGGTATTTGCCGTTTCGCGAATAATAGCATAAAAGAAATTGTTGATGGGAAAAATAAAAATATACTTTCAGGAAACATTTAAACAATTCATTCACAGTTTGATGAGGGTGTCTGTAAAACCAGGAACAGGCCCGGAACACTATTCTTGGAACACCCCGGAACACCCGCGGAATACCCTGGAACAACCCCCCTGATGGGTCCTCCCCGGAACACTGTTAGTTATAAAAATTAGCCAAAAAAATTGCAAAATCAAAAAAACCCTAAAATATCGTCAATGAATCAATAAATATACCTGAAAGAACCCTTATTGAATGAAGTCAAGAAAACAAAAGAAAACAAAACAACAACAGCAAGAACAACAACAAATACAAGAAAAGATTTAGATTAGACCCAAGCGAATGGCACATGAAGGACCCAATTTGATGTCTACCGTGTTCGAGTAGTATCACTTATAAAATTCACTTTTATTCTTGTCTTGTTTTCTTTGAATTTGATAGTTTGTCTTTCATTAAAAAGGAAAAATGTTTTTTGCTTTTGTTTTAGTGTTTTATTTGAATTTTCCAGCTAATCTTTCATTTCCAAAATTTATCGCGCTTGATTTCTCAAATTGCGTTTTTATTTTCAAAATGAGGTAGATATGGATCTCACTGACGTGACAGCTTCAATAGTGCTTCGTCAGCAATACTCAAGGCCAGGACACTCAGACATATATAATGGCCGAACGAGACAGAGAGGGTGTTCTTTCCTAGGAAGTTGAACCAACAACCATCAGAACAGTCGCATGGACTGTTAGGCTAAAACAAAAGTATTTATTCCAACGGAGGAACTACAGGACAACTCACTAATCTCAAGACAAAAGGAAGAAGCAAGCTTCGGGTGGATCTCGAAGATTTCAAGGGACAAACAGCTTACGCCGAGCACGACTTGTTTGAAGTTGCTGATGAAGGAAATAAATACAAGCGGACTCTTGGTACATATACGGGTGAGTGCTTCCTTCCTCCTTCCTTCCTTCCTTCCTTCCTTCCTTCCTTCCTTCCTTCCTTCCTTCCTTCCTTCCTTCCTTCCTTCCTTCTTTCCTTCCTCCCTCCCTCTTTTCCTTCCCTTCTTCCTTCCTTCCTTCCTTCCTTCCATCCTTTCTCTCTTGTACAATTGTTGTATTCCTCCCTCCAAAAGCGGTTCCCAAATTTGTTGTTATTTTTAGCTACTTGTTATCACCACAGTATTTCCCCTGGAAACCCCCTGGTTATGCCACAGAATTTTTAGTCATTATATTAAAAGGGCCGGGTGCCTCTGATTTTCCAGAGGTGGCTTAAGACATGTCATCTGGTTGAGATATTTTGGGTTATGATTTTTCTCTTTTGTAGGAACTGCTGGGGATTCCATTAGGTATAATAATGGTATGGCGTTCTCCGCTAAAGATCGAAGCAATGATAAAAGTGGCATTAATTGTGCCGCATATTGGAATGGAGGCTGGTGGTTCAATTCCTGTCACCACGCCTTTCTGAACGGCTTCTATTATCATGGCTCACACTCCAATGCCTAGGGAGGTGTGATATGGTATGAATGAAGGGGGCCAGGTACTCTGCCAAACGTGCGGAGATGAAAATTAAACCAGTTAATGCCTAAAAGGTAGTCGACATACATTTCCTCACCAAACGTGACTTTGGCCTTCGCAATAGTAAGTTAACAATTTTTGGTTAATGAGACAGTTTAACCTTCTTTGATTTTTGTTAGCTTCATTGCAGATTTAAAGCTTACACCAAAGTTTTATTATTATTTTTTTATTTCATTTTTTTTGTATGGTCTCTGTTACCTCAAATTAAATGAGCAAGGTGTGGCTTTTGGTTTCATATGCAAAGTGGCGTATCATGTATCGTTGATGATTCGCGATTGTGTAGTAAACTTCCCAATGACCCGGACTCCTTTGAATATCACGGCGTATACATAGGCTGTGATCTATCGTTGCATGGGATATCATATGAAGTAATTATTTACGAAATAATATATCTTAGGGTCAAAAAACTCTAGAATGAGGATCTTTTATTTTTTTTACAAGCAAACCATATTGTCCATTTTGGATTATGGTTGCATGACCTGCTTAGACTTTGTCGTAAAGAGGATTGAACGCTTGAATGAATAAAATCGGGCTATGCATGGTAAATTTTAAATGCCAGTTTAGGAAAACGTGCTCCAAAGAAAGGTGACTTGAGTTGTTCTTTTTACGCTGGGTAATCGTAGGCGTTTTTCGTGCTTTTTTAACTTAAAATCAGCTGTATATCTGTATATATATGTTAATTGCATTTCCTCCAGAGTTAAAACAAACATTCAAACAAATGTTAAACTACAGCTTGTTTATAAACTAGGAATTATTTTGAGTGCATAATAAAACAGTTGATACACCATCCTTGTTCTTTTTAATGATAGCATATATGTATTTAGTATATACTAAAACAATGGATAGTGTTTTTTGCCTGCTCTGATTGGCTACTCAATCAGCGAATATCCAGCACTATTCACTCATTCACCTCCAGTTCCTCCGAGCGAGCGACGCCAAACTCGCGTAAGTTGAGAGCAAAATGCCTTCCCGGTTTGCTGCCGTAACAAACAAAGAAATTTCACAACTAATCAAGCAAGCTGTTTCCGAAATACACGAAGAAGGTGACGAAGTTCGGTTTTGAAGTTTTAAAGCTTTGTCTTTTTGACTTGAATTTATCGATAAAACCGGTGAAAACGTTTTTTGTTTACAAATAGAGTACTAAAGTGATGACGTCATAAAAATGAAATTTCTGAAATTATGGGATTTGTCCGGATATTCGGAAAGAACAATGTTCAAGAGGCCTACTTGCCAAAAATGAGCATTTCGGGGAAAATTGTCTCTGAGATCGTAGCCCAGTTATGCTTAGAAAACTCCATACAAACCCTTCTAATTTTTTTTTGGGTCGACCCCCAAAAGGGAGGACCTCTGGTGCCTGTAGAGGGGTGTGAGCGCACCTGTCACATTTCCCCACACCCTACGGGCCTGATTTACCCATTCATTCGTTACACAAGCAATTCAACGGCATTTTCAACTACACGCTTTCAATAATTAAATATTACTGAGAGCTTAGCATTCCTACTGAGAAGGTTTATCAGACCTTATCAAACAAAATAACTCGCCAGGTTTCTATTGGTTTAAAGTGTGAAATTCTCGATAACAATCCAAACAGAAAAGTTAAAACAGTCGTCTTATACTGAACACTTTTCCGAAAAATAAATAAATATAAGAAAAGTTTATTTAATCACGCCATTCATGGCAGATAAAATAAATTTCCACACTCAGCAGGAGCAGCTTGGAGCTGGTCAACAAACAAAAGTGTCTACAGACAATTGCAGTCTTAAATATAATGATCCCTGTAGGAGTATGAATATTTATAATTAGCCTCTTTTAGTTCCCCCAACTTCTCTTCATTTGGACTCGCGACGGGGACCCCGGTGCCAACTGAAATCAATTTGCTTCATAAGAATTAGCAGCTATGCTAAAAAAAGTTTGCACTCTTTCTTCTTGTCTAAGAAAAAACGTATGATGGTATCTACAGCTCTGCGTTATTTGGCTGACCAGTTATACGATTTCATAAGAAGACTTTACAGTTTCAAATTCTTACGAAATCCATTGACCAATTGTCTTAGAAGTCCATGTTTCCCTCTATCCTGATGTAACTAATAATAACTTTTATAGAACTGTTTTATTTTGGCGATCGCTATGAAACAAATTTGATGAAGTCCATTTTATCGAACAATATCTGTAAGATTTTACTAAGAAAGTATGTTCCCGATTTCCATTCATTTTGACGGTGAAAACCTAAAGCAGTAACCTATTCAAAGGTTCATACTGTATTTAACCTGAATGGATATTTTATCACAACAGCAAAAATCTGTTAATCAAAATGTTTATTGTTCAAGTCCAATTTATTGCTTTAATTGTAGTGAATGCGACGCAAACCCATAGGGAGACAATAATTAAACGTTTTAAAGCAGTAAAAAAGCCAAAAATCACATATTAACCGTCTTAAAGAAGCCATGAAGCTAAAGATAGCCTCGTTTTGCATTACTCTTACCTTTCTTGCCTTTGTTGGGTTTACTAAGCTGCATGCACAGGTCAGAGTTTGCTACTTCATTGGTTTCGCAAGTTCTTTATAAGAACTGAATTTGACTTTCCAAATGTCGTGATTCTTTTACTGAGACACAATTTAGGGAACATGCACTATCTTTCTTTTATTTCAAAATAGGTCGAACGACGAGAGCGGCATGGCATCTATCATGGATATTTCAAGGCGTTTTTGAACTACAGCTTAAATATTTCCCAAGTGTTGGCTTCTTTTGACGTTGTGGATCTTATGGAATGTGCCTTTCGATGCATCACAAATTCAACATGCTTGTCGTTTAATATCGCCATATTACCCTTTGCGAATGCTACTAATTATGCATGTCGTCTGTTGCCTTCAGACAAATACAATCAGTCCAGCAATTTTGCACCGAGTCAGGAATTCCATCACTATGCCATAGTGGTAGGTTATACATGCAGTAAAAAAAAAAAACTGTTATGTTATTGAGAGAGTCTTGCTGATGAAGTGAATCAGTGATTTCTATTTTGTTTCATTATTGTAAAAGAAAAGCTTGCCAGTAATACCTTGTCCAACGCCAATCCAATATAAACGTTTCACTTCAATTCAATTTACACTGACTTCGAACAGAAGTAATTCATAAGTGCTCCTACTAACGAAGATCGCTTGCTTCAAGTTGTAAAAAAAAAAAACAAACAAAAAAAAAAAACAAAACAAAAAACATTCTTTGTTGTTCTGTAATAAAATGGAGTAGTCATTTTTTTCTCGTTTGGGATCAGTTTTAAGTGATTGCCATCCGCTTGCAGGCTGCATTCATTTTGGTGTTTTCATCATACGTTTTACTTTTCCAGACTTAAATAATGCGAAAGGAGTTTCTTGGGCCAAAGGATGAAGCTCCAACAACGAAAGCAATAGCAACAGTAACAACAACATTATCAGCAAATAGCAAGCTTTGTTGATGTTGTTGCTTTTGAATGACAATAAAAGTTTAAAAGTGCAAATTTAAGTAAAAATATATTATGGAGAAAAAAAAAAGAACTGAAAGAATAACTAATTATTAAAAAGTTAACTTAGTTGTGAAGGGTAGACTATCGATTTTAATGACAGTTTCAGAAAATTATTGGCAAAATCAAAGGATAGCAATTGTAACAAAATACAGAAACAAACACACAAAAAAACTACAATACACCAGCATTGCATTTCAATAAATACACTGACGTGTTCATTCAATTACAAAACATCAATTTTGCTACTGAATTGCTAAATTACTGGCGTTTAAATCAAAGATGGTGATTTATCCTCGCACGTACACGCAAATTCATAGCCCTACCGTGGTACAGGGAGGGAGGGGAAGGGGGGGGGAGGGAGGGGGTTGATGGAACTGGTATTGTTAAACACTCCTTAGCCGCTTCTATAGACGGGTGGACCATGGGAAGAGGCGTGGGGCTGAGAGAAGGTCGGCATAACAGCTAATACTGACATGAATGTTTAAACCTCATCAAAGTTCGGACTTACTATTGTAAATTTCCTTTCAGAGTCCATGTGAAAACTTTCCATGTAAAAATGGTGGAAGCTGTCGATCATTGTACAAGGAAAACAGCTATGTATGCCACTGTAGTGAAGGTTTCTCAGAAAATCACTGTGATACAGAAGGTAAAAAAGATAATAACTTTCTTGATCTCCCATGAATTCTATCAAGAGCTTCAAAACCTTTGTTCACTATTGTACAATCGCTATTGCCGTCCTTGACAGCTTTGTGTTCCAAAGGGACCAGTTGCAGTAGGCTGGAGGACAAATTTCGCTTCGGGATACTTGAGTCTCTTTGCAAATCTCTGTATCCGTCAGACAGTTTGATATGTAAAGTCAGGTGATGAATCCGGTGGGTTTTGATTCTCAGTTACTGA